TGTGTGCGCGTGTGCGCGCGTGTGCGTGCGTGTGTGCGCGTGCATGCGCGTGTGTGTGCGTGTGTGTGCGTATGTGTGCGTGCGCGTGCGTGCGCGTGCGTGCGCGTGCGTGCGCGGCGTGTGCGTGTGTGTGTGCGTGTGCGTGTGTGTGTGTGTTTGTGTGTGGAAGAGAACCGGTGTAAAATGATACCCTTTGTTTTGTTTCTTTGAGGCATGTGAAGTTTGACGTCTTAACAGCTCGACATTGTAAAGTGCATGCACATCTTTAACAAGGTTTATGATGATGATTTTCTTCTATTTCTAGACGCCTACATAATGGATGACTTTGAAACAAGTCTCGACATTTGGAAACAAGATGACTATGATAGTTTTGATTGGACATTGCAGCAGGGTCAGTCAGTCAACCTCCTGTACGGGCCCAGAAGGGACCACACTCTAGGGACTCACTTAGGTAAGAGGAAAATTGAGCATGTCTTCGACATGTTTGGTATCTAAGAGAAAAAAACGATAGCTCATACGGTATCAAAACTTACTCACAGTCGTCTGTTGTGTTGCACTTAGCCTCATTGCTGTTGCGCGTAGAAGACCTGAGTTCAATTGCCGTTTGGGAGAATATTTCTATTTATAGAATGATATCTCTGTCTTTCTTTTAAAACGTTGTACCACTCTCAGTCCGGGTTGGCCCTGGCAGGCAGGATGGCAGCTTATACCCTATATGATCTAAATTGTGTCGATGGGGGAGTGAAACAGGTTCATTAATTATTTTTAAAAAGAAAACACAAATGACAACTCAAATAAAATATAAATTTATTCTATAAAAAAAACATTCATTTTTCAGCGGGGGACCTGCAGTGTGGGATGTTCGAAACAGCCCATCCTCAAAATAACATAAATTGTGTCTATGAGGGCGTAAAACACGTTTAATTACAATTTTTTAATCGTATTCCAGGCCATTACCTTCTATTGTCCGGTTTTGGGCACATCAAGGGAGAGAAGGCACGCCTCTTGAGCCCCGTCTTCTTGGCCACAGCGAACCCACAGGACTGTAAGGTATGTCTTTTTGCTGACTTGTTGATTCCATCGTTGTTTTTGTTAATGTCGTCGTTATTTATTAAAGGTTGCTATTTCTTATGGATAACAGTTGTTTATTTATACATCCATGCTATCTTTTACACAGAAAAGGCGACCTTTTTGTAAATAAATGAAAAAAAAAAACAGTTCCGTAGTAAAACAGGTTCATTACTTTTTTTAAAACAACAACAACAACAACAACAACAACAACAACAACAACAACAACAACAACAACAACAACAACAACCACCAAGACAACTCAAGCAGAATCAAAACTTATTCTAAAAAAAATACATCATTATTCAAGGGAGACTCTTCAGTATTGGGTTGGCCCTGAAAGACTGGGTCGATACAGCCCACCTCCTAAATGATATAAATTATGTCGATGAGCTTTATAATCATTTGTCCTGGTGGTATGTTTCACTTGCGTCGTCTTGTGCCGTTTCGTTTTTATAAAACTTCGTCTTGGTCAGGTTGCGTTTTGGTTCTCGTTTCATAATTCTGTCATTTTTCAGCTTTGTCAACTCGTTTTATGAAGAATTTTCATTGCCTTTTGTCATTGCCCTTTCGTCTAAATGTTGATCCTGGTGTGGTTTCTTTAACGTTGAATTTCCAGCATGAGGCGTTCCATTCAGCGGGTGTTTGAGGGCGCAACTGGTTGGATCTACTTTAATTTCCCCTCTGCTACTTCTGTCTGTCTTATTCCCCACCCCCGTCTCTAAATGATTATTATTGTGTCGATCTTCTTCTCATTACTAAAAAAAAAAGATAAAAAAATAACAAACAACCCCTCCACCCAAAAAACCCCCAACCCCAAACAAAACAAAATACAAACTAAAGAAAACAAAACAAACATTTGCCCTCAGCTCCGCGTTCACTGGTATATGTACGGGCCTCACCGCGGCACGCTACGAATCCTGCAGAAGATCTATCAAAATGGCGGCGAGAGGGAGATTTACTCACACACAGACTCCACTCAGGACATTTGGTGGGCCAAGGAGTTTGATGTTGGATCAGAGCAGAACTTTCAGGTTGTTCTTTCTTTCTTTCTTTCTTTCTTTTTTCATTTCTTTCTTTCTTTCTTTCTTTCTTTTTTTTCTTTCTTTCATCCTGTCTGTCTGTCTGTCTTTTCTCTCTCTCTCTCTCTCTCTCTCTCTCTCTCTCTCTCTCTCTCTCTCTCTCTCTCTCTCTCTCTTTCAATCACAATCATACTCAAAATAATAATAAAATAATAATACGGTGTCATAATTGTCTCGGAGAATCAATGCTATGTTCAGCAAACTGGATGGTTATTTAAATTTTGAACAATATTGAAGACTACGAATTCCCATAACAGTCCTTGGCTAATGTGCCTATTAATTGAAGGAGATTATGTCAACGGGATGAAAGACTCGACTGGAAAATTGAGTGGACATTTTACAAAGGAAAAAGAAGACAAAGGAGCAAAAACTGTCTGCGATGATACCAGCCTTTCAGACAAAAAAATAGATCGCGATTTGACCCAACTGCTTTTTTTTTTTGTAGTGCTCCCTAGCAACTTTACTTTGAGATAAGTGATTTTGTTGACTTGCATGTGCATAGAGTATAATATATTTTTTCCCGAATACCTTTATGGTGCTTTACGATTCCCTTTATAAATAAAAAGTGAGCGTTGTCATGGCAAATCAAAAAGGGTAGGATCGGTCTATTCCGAGAAAATTATTTTTATGATAGTAAATTTGAAATGAAAAAAAAAAAAAAAGAAAAGAGTGGTTGCCGGGCACTCTAGTGTGGTTTTCTCCTTCTTTCATATATCAAACATCTATCGTCGTTATCCTTCTTCCATTTTTTAGCATGTGTTAACCTACAATTACTCTTCTAATTTCGGCATATATCTCTGCTGTCATTTTAAAAAGTACAAGATAATAATATTATGCATTTTATTTTTACAATTTTACCGGACAGTCACAAAACTGAATGTTGTCACCAAGAAAACGAACTCTTTGCAAACATACCAAGTAAAGATCTTTAAGAATGCAATTTTGATAATAATTACGTTATTGCCTTTAAAGGGAATGTTATTTTCTTGGTTACAACATTCAGTCGTTTTTCTTCTTCTGTAAAAGTTCACACTGTATTTTAAAATGACAGCAGATATGACTCAACTGTGTTTCAAATGCAGTAAAACTCTTAATAAAACAAAAAATTAAATAGGATACTATGACAATTTTACAAAAATGAAAACTGTACTAATACATGTCTCAGATTGTCATCGAGGGTCAAGTCGCTGGGTCCTACATGGCCGACATAGGAGTAGATGACATCAGCTTCACCCCACTGTGCCGGGTCGCAGTCTCCCGTAAGTGTGTTCACAGCTCGAGAAAAGACAATGTGTGAGCATGGTATCATTTGTTGTGTTTTAAAGAAAAAATCCAAAACGAAACAGGAAGCAGGAACATTATTTGGAAATTGGTGATGATGATGATGATGATGATGATGGTGATGGTGATGGTGATGGTGATGGTGATGGTGATGGTGATGGTGATGGTGATGAGGATGAAGATGATGATGAAGATGATGATGATGGTGATGGTGGTGGTGGAGGGGTGGTTGTGATGATGATGATCATGATGACCATGAAGATGATAATGATGATGGTTGTTGTGATTTGCAAGAAACGAGTGGGTCAAGAAATTATGTTTATACTCGAGAGTAAAAGAAACCAGAACTATTTCGCCCCTTTTTTTCTTATCGAAAGATTAGAAACGTTATGCTCTTGCTGTATTCGGGTTCGGATTCATACAAGGAACAGGTATTATAGGAGTGGGTGGTAACTAATAAATAACGTAGCTAGAAGGGTCGATTGTTCTTCAAAATGTTGAGTTCTGTTTTTTTCCAGCTGAGTCGTCGAGTTTCCATTCACAAACTTTCAGGAACACTAAAATTTGTTAAATGTCTGCGTTTTGAATAGTTGTCTTTGATGAGATCCTCTTTAGATATTTTACAAGTTAATTATGTGAGGCTATGAGATAAAGTTAATTGACTATAGCTTACTAATATAAAAATATTATATTTCCGAATAATGATTGATCAGTAAAGACACAGATATCAAGCCCAAAAAGAAGAATCATTGAAACATATATTATGCTTCAAACAGGAGGAAATCCCACAACCTTTGGAGTCTAGAACTGGTATTTCAAATAACCTATTTCTCATATGTCTGCCAAATTAGGCCAAACACTTCTTTTATCTGAAATTGTAGTATTCACCACCGTAATTACAATTCGTAACACTTTGATAAGTAAACATAACACTCAAAAGAAAATTTTGATCCATTCTGGAAGATAAGGAAATAAAAAACCCATTTCCTTCAGGAAAATAAGTGTTTGACCTAATTTGGCAGATAGACTGTTAGAATCGGATACTAAAAGTATGTATGTCGTAGGGCGTCCAAAGCAACTATTAAAAACCTCTGCAGAAACTCTGTCCTCTGGCCCCGTCCTCCCTGAGCCCATCTGTGATACAGTGACCCAGTTCCAGTGTACCGAAGAAACCGCCAGTTGTGTGCTGAAGTCCCAGGTCTGTGACTTCATGCGGCAGTGCAGGGATGGCTCAGACGAAGCCTTGTGCTGTGAGTTGTTTCTGATTGTGTGTGTGTGTGTGTGTGTGTGTGTGTGTGTGTGTGTGTGTGTGTGTGTGTGTATGTGTGTGTGTGTGTGTACATGTTTGTGTGTATAAGAAATTCTTCTTGTTTTAGTAAGAGTTTTACGGCACTTGCAACACAATTAGGTCATATAAGTGCAAGTGATTAGATGATTGTACAAGAAAGTAACAAAAACATAAAAGAAAAAGGGATATAGGGATGATGTTTGATAGGAAAGAAGGAGCAAAGCACACCAGAGCACCCGCCAACCACCCACTAAGATGTTATTCCTTATGCGGGGATCGAA